TATTCCTATGTTTTCCGTGCTCTTCAAGTTTGCTCCTCCAAACTAGCCCTTGATGAAGAACTAAATTATTTAAAAGCAATAGCTATTGACAGGGGCTTTTCACCCAACATTATTAATCAAGCAGTTTTAAAAAATTCTCATCTCAACACACTAAAAGCCACACTCTTATTTTAGGAGATTATAAAAATTCTGTTGTCATTCCCTTCTTTCCATCAATTAGCTATAAAGTTGCACATATTTTGCAGAAATTTAACTTTCCGGTTGTTTACTCTCCCATCAATAAAATTCCAACTTCTATACTCAAGGACCCCATTCCGGATATGAATTCCTGGGGTATTTATAGGATTCCTTGCCAGTGCGGTTTAATTTACATTGGCCAAACTAAGAGAGCCTTAAAATTTCGCGTCAAAGAACATGAAGCATATGTTAGAAAAAAGGAAACACAGAAGTCTTCTGTTGCTCAACATTGTTGGTCCGAAAATCACACTTTCAATTTTTCTGCTGCCAAAATTATTCAAAAAACATCTTCCATTGGAGAACTGGATTTTCTAGAGGCATTTCACATTCATAAAAATCTTTCTGTTCTAGTTAACGATCCTAATTCCAATCCAAATTTGCCTTCGGCTTTTAGAGAAATTATGTTTTAGTTCTGGTTTCGCCAACAGATGGCGCCACTTGCTTATTCTTGTCCAGGCTTTCTTATCTTATCTAAACATTATTTCCTACCTTGTTCATTTGCGGTTTGCAGCTGAAGATGATGGTTCGGTAAAACCATCGAAACTAGTCCTGTGAAAATTTTGTAAATTAACGCTGATTTTTGTTGTTTGACTTCGGAATTAGATATTATAGAGGACTGGAGAAATTAAAGAGCCCTGAGGTACGCCAGCCACGATTAGTCTGGGAGTTAAGTATGTGCTATTGACTCAAACAACAAAGTATCTATCCTTAAGATAGGAGTTGATGAGTGTAATGATGTAAGCTGGGAAACCCAGGTTAATTAATTTGTAAGTGAGGCCGTCCAGCCACACACGGTCAAATGCCTAAGCAATGTCTAGAAAGGTATCTCCGGTAGTGAGACTATTTTGCAGTCCTGAAGAAATCAATTCAGCAACCCGGTATAATTGATGTGTGGTGAAATGTCGTTTGCAGAAGCCTTATTGCTCATTGATGAATGATTATTATTTGCTTCCGCATGTTGCATGATCCTTTTTAAAATGACATATTCAGTGATTTTACTTAAAGCTGATAAAAGGCTTATTGGTCTGTAGGATACCGAATCGCAAGGAGCTTTCCCTGGTTTAAGAATTGGGCATATGATTTCAGTTTTCCATTTTTTAAGGTAAATTCCACTTTTGATAATAACTTTTGATGATTTGATGATGGTAAACAGGTTGAAGATCATAAAAATACCCACGTTGGCAAGCATTTTATTGGAAATCTTATCCAGACCAGGACTTTTCTTGGTTTTCAGTTTGCATATATATTCAAGGACATCTGACGGCATAACTGGAGGGATGTTGTCAGTGCAGGGATTTATCAGGAAATTTGTTAGCGTATGATTAACCAAGTGTTCTGTTGGTGGGTGAGAAATCTTGTTGGCGCGGAACTGAGTAGCGTAGTGATCGGCAAGCAACTCGGCTTCCTCAATTTCGATGTAGGCAATAGTTCGGGTTCCCATTAAGGGGCAGAATATTTGTGTAGCATCTTTTAAATTTTGTAGTCGCTTTCCAGATAGAGTTATCTTCTGGATTTAGAGACTCTAGGTAATCAGGCCAGTTGCGTTGTGCTTGTTTACGTGTCAGGAGTCCGATTTCGTGATCGAGGCTGTTGAGAGTGGATTTATCCGCGGGATGCCGGTATCTTTGCCATGTTTTGTGGGTAGCATTTCTCTGTTAATGAGTTGTCGGATCTTGAAGTTTTTAATTCTGTCCCTGTGTTCTACAGCTTTGCAGTTGACATTCAGGGCGTTAAAATTTTCATTGGAAAAGGAAGTAATAGCCGCATCTAACTCATCCTCATTTTGTATCATCTTCCGATCAGTCAACTTCACCGCAATCATGCAACCAATTACACCATAATAGGGTTTCTAAAACATTCAACTAGTCAGGTTACCATAAATGAAACAACAACTTTGGATAAATGAAACAACTTGGTGATATTCCAAGGAGCACCCTTAAATATGGACTAATTAATTGGAATTTAGGAATATTTTAATTGCTGAACCAAAATGAAAGAACAGAAAAATATTTGCCTTTTTCTCCCATTTTTATTTGCAATTTAATTTTATGATTAACATACATGATGCTTATACACCTTATATATGTTTAATTCAATATCTTTACCTACATAATAAAAATATGGATTTTATTGTTGTATTATTATGAAACAAGGCAGATGAATTTCGAAATGATTTTAATACTCCTTTACATGTATATAAATGTGTGCGTCAGAAATGAATGTAAAATGCCAATACTTTTACTAAGATTATTTTATTTTTGTTATTTGTTATCTCCTTTATTATGTCCTTTAAAATTGTTTTAATAAAGGTTAAAATGGTTAAAGTGAAAAACAGAAATATTGAAGTACGCATTTAATATGCTTGTAAGGTAATGAGGTAAAAGTATGGTTTAGGGTACCCCTTGGCAAAACTTGGCGATACATGGATACCGATTTTGTGCAATTCTTTGAATCGTTATTTTGGTTTGCGAAGTTGCAATTTTTGCACCAAAAATCGCCGCTACACAAAGCCAAAATAACAAGAGAAACAATTGCACAAACTCGGTATCCATGTACACATCGACTTATTTTCACTTAAAAAAAATCCCCGAATTGCACAAAAATGGCATTGCGCACTCCTTTGACTTTATCCATGTACTCGTCGACCTATTTTCACTTTAAAAAAAAATCCCCGAATTGCAAGAAAAATGGCATTGCGCACTCTTTTAACTGTATCCATGTACATGTCGACCTATTTTCACTTAAAGAAAATCCCAGAATTGCACAAACTTCCATTGCACACTCTCTTTACTTTATCCATGTACACATAGATTATTTTCACTTAAAAAGTCAAAGGAGCACCAAATTCTACAATATGTGCAAACAAAAATACATAATCTCAATAAAATACATTTTAAACCAAACAATAAAATAACATAAAAAAGGAAAAACATGTTATACATTTAAGCACTACCAAAAGCAAATATTCACTTACCATGATTTTCGAATTTGCTTCGTACACCCAGAGCCACATAAAAATCAAAATATCAATCATACTCAAATGACTTTTTTCAAACCAGGTACTCTTTCTGATCGAACGCTTTACATGGTGACCATCTGAACCTTTCTTCCTACAAACCCATTCAAATCCATCTAAACGGTTTTTACGGTCGACTAGACGCATATCCTTTCTACACACAGGACACTTATAATGGCTACCAAGTAAACCTTCATTTACACACCAGTCAATTAAAGCTCATTTCCCCTTTCGCTCCAAATCGTACAAAAACTTCAAATTACAAATTAATCTTTCTACATTCGGCCATTCTACCGTCTAAAGAATCAAACCAACACACACCACAAAAATGCTTACATAACATCCCATGATTCGAAATTTCCCAGAATCATGCACCGATTATGTCACAATAGGGTTTCCATAACATTCAACTACTCAGGCTACCATAAATGAAACAACAGCTTGGCGATAAATGAAACAACTTCGACATAATACAAGGGGTACCTTAAAGTCTACTCTACCCAGTAATGATTATAAATACATTAACTAAATGCAATATACCCAAGTTTCATATTAAAATATGCTTTTCCTCTATTTAATTTGCATCTTTTTTTAATTTTAATAATATTAATATAAAAAATACATTATTATACTTTTTCTTTACATATTATACGATACATTTTTATAGATTTTGCATTACATACATTTATAACTGAAATATTAAAATTGCAATACATAATTGTAGCTCTCTAAACTTTTTTAAATTCTAAACTAGCTCAAGTTTTAAAGGTTGGGCACCACTGGTATAACAGAAAAAACATACAAACATTCAGTAACAGACCAATAGATATGCAAGGAATTTATCCATTTACAGAAGTGAAGAGGATAAGTTAATCTAAAATTTATCATACGTACTACTTTCCACTAACAGTAACACATACACACAACAAGAACAAAAACCCTATTTCATTTATTTATGTAATTTGGTTCATTCATTTTTACATTTTATTACAATAAATAGATAAATGTTTAAGCTATTCATATCAAACAGGATGTTCACCACTTGTTATGCTGAAAGTGACCAGTAATTATCTCAATCCCTGGTATTTCCTGGCCACTTAAAAATTACAATTATTCAAACTGCACGCACACTTCTTATGAAGTCAACGTTTTTATTACATGGTTATTCATATTTAGAAAGGAAAACTTTTGTTACACTAGAATTTGAAACGGTAGCTTTAAAAATTATAAAACTGATTCTCCCTCTCTTTATTACGATTACAAACAAAACAGAGGGCTAAGATAATTCTATCTTAAAATTTCAGTAAGGGCATTATGAAAACATTAACAAAATAACGTTTTTCTATAAAATACTGAATGTTACTACGAAAAAAAGTATTTTAAAGCTGTGCGTTTAATGTTTTAGTCTAACGTATCACAATATTGAGCACTCAGGTCTCCAAACTAACTTTTGAAGATTCAAAGAAAGGTCACTTAATCCTAATATGTTACTTTTTAAATAACGAAAACTCGACAAGTTATTTTATTACATAAAAACGAAGCTTACATATACAATTAACACTGCTTGAACAAGATTAACATAATTTAAAAAGCATTATGAAAAACAAATGTATACTTATAGGTACAGGAAATGGAAAGTAAATAATTCATGAGCCTTAATTCTCGATAACCATCACTACATTTACGGAACAAAAAATAAAACACGATGAGGTTTCTGAAATAAGAGAATATTTTTAAGGTAGCTCACCTCTAACCGTGGAAAGTACTGCAACAGGAAAAGTAAACCCTTGATGTGCATACGATATATATTTTTATTCAAATCAGCATAATAAAATTTGCATCGCCACCCACTTAAAATTTGTCATTTGTTTACAAATTTTAAATCAAAGGCCATGTTACGCTTACGAGGTTGCCGCATTACTCTTTTACAGCTTATAAGTTGAGTTGAGTTTAAGGTTGTCAACAATAACATAACACATATATGTATAAACACTTTCACAATAATTCGACTTTCGTAAACCAAATTCTTTGATTAAAAACTGAAGAATTTAACTGGTACCAAATTTCATATATAAAGATTTGCTAATAAATCTTAATCCAAAACTTTCGCTTTTGGGAGCACCGGGCTTTCCTCATTGAATTATTAAATTTACAAAAATTTCCAAATAGCAGAATTTTGGCGCCTAATAAGAGGTTTTGTTTCAGATATAAAACATCAAAGTTATATTAGAATAATTTTGTTTCATTTTATTCAAAACGCATATAGGTAACAGAAAAGAGGTACTTTGCAGCAAAGTACTAAAGAGTCTTTCTAAGAGATAATACATCCTTGTGAATTTTAAAACATAATAATTTAAGGTGTTTAGTTAGATTTATCTTGTAGCTATTTTTAATTTTTTTCCCCTTCCTGGATACTTTGTAGAATGCTTTCAACACCTTCTAAACAATTTATTATCCTAATATACGAAAGATTACACTCGATCAAGTACAATTTTTATACTAATAGATTACCTGATGATTTTTGATAATATATTTTAATAAAGTGCATTTTAGTATATTTTAATATTTTGATAATTAATATTGGCCGGTCATTAAAAATATTATTTATTTTTCAAGTGTTTTTACAGAATGGCCTCACCTTTTAAAACGTTGTTGTCATAGCCATAGCGAAAAGTGTGACGTGAATCGTTGATGTGCTGTTCAAAAATGTGTGTTTTTAATATGTAACTCTTATATTTATTTATTAATGTTTAGTCTGTTTCATACTTTTACCGCGTGAAAGAAATGTTTTACATTTGTAACAAATTAGAAATTTTATTTTTATGACCACTATTTGATACAGTGTTATGAAGGTATTTGAACAGTTTTCATTCCTTTTTTAATTTTTGATTGTTTTTAATTGTGTGGATGATTAACATAAATAGGTAATGCTTTTTTTTTTTTAATTTAACGAACTTTCGGCTGTTATAAATTTTTCAAGAAAACAGAATTATTTTTAAAAATTTTTGCATCTTCCTTTATTAATATAATTTTGACATTATAAGAAGTTCCACAGAGAAGCCGTTGATGAAAATTTGTGTCTGGCAGCTAAGAGTTTAATTTGCTATTCAGAATCATTGTAGCAGTATTTTTTTTGGGGGGGGGATCTACATTTCAGAAATAAAAGTTTTTTGAGTTTCAGAAGATAATATTAAGAAACTTAAAATGCAAACTAACGAAATAATTTACCTTGTACTCCTACCATAAACTGTCATTATTAAATGTAATGTGATGCTCTCATAAAGCTATTATTCAGAATTGTCCGCATGTGATAATTCGTGGTTGGTATCTCAGTTTATGTCTTTCCAAGACACTTGTGTGAGTGTTTTAAATGTGCTTGAATCAAAGGCCTTATGTACTTAAGGTTTCAGTTTATTGTTGAAACAATTTGTTTGTTGTTTCTTGAATACAAGAAAATGTACATGATAATTACATTGTGTACCATGTAGTCACATTAAATAAATTTAATTCTTCTTCTGTTGTCAGTAGAAATGCTGAGTTCACCGAGTAGCAGTTTTGAGGAAAGTGCAGAATCACCCACTGCTTCGTATCACTAGAATCACTCACTGCTTTTCGCAAAATCTCGTACTTGAAAATAACAATCAAAGAATTGCACAAATTCAGTATCCATGTACACATCGACCGATTTTCACTCCAGAAAAAAATCAGAAAATTGCACAAACTTGCCATTGCACACTCCCTTGACTGTGTCCATGTACATATTGATACGTGCCATATAAGTGGGCGATACTGCACTTTATCTGCAGTTTTACAGCAATTGTTGTTGTGTACTTAATCACGTAGCTCAGAAGATTTCTTACAGTTCTTCATTTAATTTTCATCAGAAATGGGGCTGAAATATTTGTAGTCAAGAAAGTTGAAAAATGATCTTAATATGCAAAGATTTCAAAATGGTTTTGTAATAATTGAGGAGATATTTTTTTCTACTTCTGAAGCCATTACAAAAGTAAATGTTATGTATAACATTATTTAGTTCTTTTCAAAATATTTTATCTGTTATTCTTTATTGCATGTAGTTTAATTACAAGACTAAAAAATATGTTGCTAATTTTTATGCAAAAATGAGAAGCAGTTAGTTGATAAGTTCTTATAATAAGTTTAGCAACAGTGTGTAATGTTCTCAGAAATGTTTGAGTTTCAAAGGTGCTTACCATTAAAGGATTCATTGTATCCTGCTGTGCAAGTTAAATCATATATAGATTTTAGCAATTATGTTGCTTTATTTTATTTCATGTGGTTTTTTTTTTTTTTTTTTTTTTTTTTTTTTTTTTTCAAATTATTTGCACTGCGATAAAAGAGTTGCCAATTCCTTGGCAAAAAATATTTGTTTGAGTTACTTTTGTCGGTCATGCATGTTATTCTGTTCATAAAATAAAAATTCTAGAAACAGCAAGAAATTTTTCAAGGGAAAAAACCTGGAAGGCTGATATTTACATTCTAATAGCCAGTGTTTATTGCTCAGTATAAGCAAGGGTCAACTTATACTCAAGGCCTGCTAGTGTGAAAATATTCTTTTGTGTTTTCAATGGCCTCTGTGAAATTTCTACTGACCACAAGATGTTGCTACTCTTCTGCTACATATTGCGATGTTTGCAGCGAGCAGAAATATACCAGAAACAAGTATTTTCTTGTCATTTTTAAATTTTTAAAATGATTAATATGTAGTAGTCAGAAATCGTACATTTCTTTTTAATAAAAATATTTTTATCTAGAAAGAAGGCATGAAATTTCAAGTTATCTCATTTTTTTCATATATAAACGCCAGCTACTTGGTCCCGATTTTTATTCATGCTTGCATCTAGATATACGCTATTTTGATTTGTACTTATTAGAGCTATTTATTCTAATTTAAGGGTAATTTAAAGCATATGCTTTACTTTTCAACTATTTATATAGTACAAAGCTAGCAGAAAGCTTCAGAACATATAGTATTTCAGTGCAAAATTTTCATCATATTCCTATCAGTTTTCCTGTGCAAAAAAATGATTTACTAGCCCCTATGAAATATGTAATTAATATAATTAAGATACAATAACACACCGAATAAATATTAATTTAGAAGTCAAACAACAAAAATCAGCATTATATTTTCAAATTTTTTCACGGGACTAGTTTCAATGGTTTTACCAAACCATCATCCTCAGCTGCAAAAGCACAAAATCATTTGCATTTGCGCTTTTGCAGCTGAGGAAGATGGTTCAATAAAACCATCGAAACTAGTCCCGTGAAAAAATTTGAAAATATAACGCTGATTTTTGTTGTTTGACTTCTAAATTAATAAATTATGCTCTAAAATTTGTATATCTGTTTCTAATACATAAGAGAAAAAGTATTACTAAAAGAGCCTTAATTTTAGGTACTGAAGACTTTTTTTTTTTTTTTTAAATTTTATTTTTCCCTTTTTTTTTAATTATCAAATAATTGTTTTTAAGAAATATTAAAAAAAAATAAAAGTTTAAATAAGAGTAAATACTTCAAATTTCAGATATTCAAAATAAGGCTAAAATTGTGAGGGGGAACCTTAATTTGACACAGAATTTGAATAAAACTCAAAACTAAAATTGCTTTTTTGCCTAATTTTAATATTACACTGGTGCCTTTCTCTTCCAACTACAATTCTGTTTTAAATTTGATTAGTGTTGATATTAAAAAATTAGTAATTGAATTAAATGTATTGCAGCAATTTACATTTTCAGTGTTGGAGAATCTTGAATTGTTTCTATAGAAATAATGAAATTGTTGGTACAGCTATTCATTAAATCAAACATTATGCTTTTCTCAGTTTATTATAAAGAAATATTAAAATAATTCTTGCATTTTAACTCGAATTTTATACTAAGATTTAACTTGAAATTAATGTAGATAATTACTGAGAGAATCAGATTTTTGTATCGTAGTTTACGTGAGATGAGCTTATTTGGGATCACGTGATGAATCAAGATGTTGTACCATGAAAGTATAGTAAATTCTTAAATTAACGTCTTTTAACAAATATGTCAAAAATGGATGAAAAACCAATGAAAATTTGTGATTTGCCCAGGACAGAGGAAGAATCTATCAGATTCTTTCAAGCGAAAAGCGTTTTGCCTAACATTGCTATTTGTGATAATAATCGTGAAATGAAATTATATTTCGGAGACGAAATTCAATGGCGCTGCAACCTTTCAACTTGCCACAGTAAAAGAAGTATACGGAAAGGCACATGGTTTGAATCATCGAGATTGAGTTTCTTGAAATGTGTAAGATTTATTTATGGTTGGAGTGAAGAATTAACTTCAGTTAAATGGTGTGAAAAGCAGTTGTAAATCAGTCACAGAATAGTTGTAGATTAAAATAACTACATGCGAGAGGTTTGTGTGGATTCTTTACTTTAACGTCAACAATGCAAAGTAGGAGGACCTGGTATAATAGTTTAAGTGGATGAAAGTAGGTCCACAAAGCGCAAAAACGTGGGACGGATTTTACCACAATAGTGGATCTTTGGTGGAGTTTGTCGGGAAACAAACGATTGTTTCCTTGTGAAGGTGCCAAACCGATCCATGACTATTATAGTAGAGGCAATAAAGGAAAATATCGAAAAAGGAAGTACGATATATTCCAATTCATGGAAATCATATTGTACTGAAAAACTGGAAGAGGAAAGTTTCGAACATTTCAAAGTGAACCATAAATACAATTTTGTAGATTCTGAAATTGGAATATATTCTCAAAAAATAGAAAGACTATGGGGTAGTGCTAAATGGCAGAATAAGAAACACAGAGGAACAGCACGTAATCATCTGGAATGTTACCGCACCGAATTTATGTGGCGAAAGGACACAAAAGACCCATTTGAAAAAAATTTTGGCTCTAGTGTAGAATTGGGTGCCCCTTCGATTAGCGACAATTTTTTTTTAATTTTGTGATGTAACCTCACTTCTGGTTACCATGATAATTTTAACTTTGTTTCTTAATTTTATTTAAATGAAAATAGATTGATGTGTACATGGACAAATTTAAGGCAGTGCGCAATGCCTAGTTTGTGCAATTCTAGGATGTTATTTTGAGTGAAAACAGATCGATGTATACATGGACACAGAGTTTTTGCAATTCTTTGACTTCTTATTTTGGTTTTGTGTAGCAGCCATCTTGAAATTGTGCCTTCCTGGCGCCGATCTTGGCGTCAAGAAAGAATTTCCAAAAAACAAGGGGCACCCAATTGTAAACTTTTACCCAAAATTTTAAACGATATTAAAATATTTATGCTTCCAAAATAAAAAAAATTCTTAGAACTAACAATTGTTAACATTTTTTATGTGTATACTGTGTGTTGTCGCCAATAAAGTCAGCTTGGCGAGATTTGCGATGGAGAAACGGAAGTGGCGAGGTTTGCGCCAGCAAAACGGAAAAGTACACATAACAAAAAAACATAATAACTCTTATAATTATAACATACACTTAAGGACACATTTAGTTCTGTATATCAAGTGTAAAATTTAAAAACTAGGCTGATTATAAATAATATAACCATCACACATACCCACAATATAAATAGAATGAAGTATATACATAATTTTAGTCAAATACGCATATAAAGTTAGGCAAATAAGCAAGCTTATTAAGTGTACAGCAACTAGATATTTTTACGCACAAACAATATTAATCAGAATGACCTATGTATAAAATTTTATCTCTGATTGTGTGAGATATTTATATAATACTGTATCTGTGAAATAAAATTAATTAATTTCGTCAGGTAAGGTTATCACTATTAAACAATCATAAACATGAGTGCCATGTAAAGCCTGTATTAATTGATTGCATGCCACTACTTGACATAAATCTATGTGTACCACTTCCATTCAAAATAAATCAGAATGAGTTTCACACAAAGTTTTGAAAATAACAATGTCAGATACATACACATTTTAGAATTAATGTTATTATAATAATTTCATTTAGCTAAAGTATATTAATCCACAGATTTTCATTTTAATAAGTGCATTAATACAATTAATTTCATTTAAAGAAAATAATATAAGTATTGCTCATGATGTACGACCATGTGTTTTAAATCTTTGACAAGTACAACCTCAAAACATAGAGCAATTATTAATTTAGAAGTCAAACAATAAAAATCAGCATTATATTTTCAAACATTTGTTCAGTGTGTTATTGTATTTCTGTGAAAATTTGAAAATATAACGCTGATTTTTATTGTTTGACTTCTAAATTAATATTTGTTCGCCGTGTTATTGTATCTTAATTATAGAGTAATTAGTTCAAATCTCTATACACATCATACATACATGACATTAATCACAATTTATGATTAATAAAATTTTGAGACTGTTAGTGCTGAATAGAGTATTTCAATATCATCGACAGCATATAAAAATGACATACGTGACATCAAGCGCAATGAATCATATATAACAGGGGTGGCCAACAGCCGTATCAGGCTCACGAGCCTGATACGGCTCTCGCAGGCAATTTGTGCGACTCATGCATATAAAATATATGTATGAAATATAGTAAACTAAAACTATTCTGTGTCTAAAAGGAAGTAATTAATTAGTTTAGACTCTTTTTACAAAGTTATCGGGGAATTCTTTCTATGTAAAACCTCCTCCACTACTTCTATAGTGATGTAAATATGAACTTGTGGCTTTTAGAAAAATCTAGATGTGACTCTCGAACTTTCCTAAACTCAAACCTGCAGTTCTTACTGACATGAAGTTTGGCCAACTCTGATGCATAACATTTTGAGACTTAGGGCTGAATACCAAGTATTTCCAATATCACTGACAGCATATAATAATGACATACATTAATATCAATGAATCATATATAAATTTTTGAGAATGTTAGTGTTGAATACTAAGTATTTCAGTATCACCAACAACATATAATAATGACATACATTAATCACAATGAATCGTATATAAAATTTTTAGACTGTTAGTGCTGAATACTAAGTATTTCAATATCATTGACAGCGTGTAATAAAACATCAAGCTGTATTCCTTAAAACAAAAATGTATTATCTCTATTAATTACATATAGATATGGATGCCTCAGGAATCTGCATAATTTGTTAAATACAACCACAATACACTCAACCATGTAAACACATATACATGACACTAATTAAAATGAGCACTATAAAATTTTAAAGCTGTTTCAGAGTATTCAAATGTTCCTGGATCAAAGATAACAAATAGAGGAGCTAAAAAGTAATTAATTTAATAAGAAAGGTAATGCAATTAACATTTCTTATGAAATATGCAGGATGTATGCATGGATACATTAAATTTTAATTGCGTTAAATTCATTTCTCAAATTGTTAACAACTGGGGGGACATATCTCAGATATACAAGATGATTCTAAACTGTTTTTACAAATTAAGAGGGGTGATAGTACCCATCCAAACGAGCAAAAATTACCATAGAACATACAGTTGCAATAACAGTGTTGGGAAAGCGAATGAACAAGACCAAAAGTTGAGCAACCAGATTTATTATTAGTGAAAAACTCGCAGAAAGTTCTCAAAATGTCGACAACTCACTTTTCCATTTCTGGCATTTGTGCATTTCATGAACGTCCTGCATTGCCTTTTGAGATGCCAAAAGAACCGGTTTCTCGCCTTTTTCAATCGACACTGGAAAAGGTTGGATGACTTAAAAACCACTGTTCGTACGATCATCATGATTCGCGTCCATTCCCTTTTGCTTCACCGTGTCTGAGGTGAATATCTGCCAATTCCTTATACACATACTCCGCCATAGCATTCACAAAAAGTTTCGGACGATCTTACGAAGTAATACTTGAAGTGATGATGTGCCGTTTTCAAGACACCGTTTGCTCCGATTGGCTTTATTCAGTACCAACTAAGAGCAAAATGCTTCTTCTTCTCGGTGCAAATTTGCATACATTTAATTCTTCCATATTCTTAGGAGATAGTCTCCTTGTTTCTACTTTCCTCATTTCTGCCTCTCAGAATGGAATGCAACCCTGTGTTCTATAGTAATTATTTCTCGTCTGGATGGGTGTTATCACCCCTTTAAACTTGTAAAAACAATTTAGAATCACCCTGTATATATAATAGGTTAAAATATCGGTTATGTAAGATGCAATATAATCAGTGCTCATAAACTATAGGTATACTCGCTATCTGAGATTTCAATGCACTGAATGTACACTTAGCATGCAGTATCTGAACATAAATTAAATACATATGACAGAAGTTTACAGTGCAAATCAGAATAAAAATTTACACAAATATTTCTATTCCTTGAATACATTTAGATTCAATTAACATGAGCTAAGTATACAGTGATTTAGAAGGTATTACTGACAGATTCATTTATTCCATGAGGATTGTGTAATATCATGAGGGTAATATCAATAGAAATAGGGAGCAGTAACTACCTTTACCTTCACTCGCATTTGGTACCAACTACTGTGAGTTATCACCAATAGATCAAGTATGCCTTAGGCCTTTCACATTTGTATCAAAAAGAAGATGTACTATTGGTACATCTATCAACCCAGAGGCGTAGAATGCATTCAAAAACTCTAAGGTTTGGAGTAATCGTTCGTGGGGAAGCAAAAGTTTCCATAGATCTTAAGTTGTAAAGCAGTCTTTTACAAATGGTCGCATTCAGTTTCTGCTATATGAATTCGGAGTTATTAAAGAAGAAGCATTCTGAATTGAGAGCACTTTGTCACAGAATAGGGAAACAGTTTAAGTCTGCGTTCAATTAATCAGGGAATGTCCTTAACATGCACCGAAACGTCAAAGTTCAATCAGACTTTGGTCAAAAACACAAAGTTCATAAAAATTAGTAGAATTTGCATTTGCACACAATTGTCTTTGGTCAAAAACAAAAAGTTCATAAAATTTTGTAGAATTTGCAATTACTCATAAGTCACATCACATGAAGACACATTAAAACCTTATTCGCAGATACGTCCAGGGAGCAGTAACTTGCATGAAATGAAGTAAATTAAAAAAATAGGTGTAAATATAAGCTGGTTAATAAAGATCAAACAAATTTGACAATACCCTACAATAACTGTAAGATGAGAAGTGTTGAGCTGAATGAACATGCACACACATATTAAGAAGCTTGTTTATACATGCAAAAGCTGAGGGGGGAAAAAATTTCAAAAGAATTTTAAAGCTTTAAAATATAATGTGATGTTGGTTCTTGTTTAAGAAATTATGTATTTGTATTAAATCTGTATTACATGTAACTGATGGAAATTTCCATAATATTTCCATCAGTTATATGTTGAGAATAATTATTTAAATGCAACTGTTAAAAATTTGTTAAAAGGAAGAAAACTTTGCTGTATTACATGCAACAATTTGCCATCCTATATTACTGTTTGCAAACAGCAATACTTTTTAATAAAATACAATTTTGTTATTAGTGAGCTACATTACAAATGCTGAATAGCATAGTGTATGTGAGTGGAACCTAATGATGAATTTCGCGAAACCCACTGGAAACTGGGAACCGGAATTTCGTCCTGTCTGACAGGCCTTGGTATAAGGATAGTTAAATATAAAATATGCAAATGCACATGTATTCAAATTCTAGCTGTTTTTACTGCTATACTTGAAAATATGCCAAAAACATGACATTTCTGCATTTTGAACCAGGAGTGTGGATAGAAAGTACCTTTTATTTTAAAGTGTTAAAAATATGTTGTCTTCATGGAACAAAATACATATTTCAGTTAAATTTCATCTTAAATTATCATTTTATAATTCATAAATTAAATTAATACAGTGAAATAAATAAAGAACGTAAAACATATTTGTTAAAGGTTTCTTGGTAATTTTTGGTTAGAGATGCCAGTAAGCATCTGTGTTTGTTACACACACACAAGCACTGGTGTCTCTTTGATGGAAAAGTACAATTTTCTTATTTTTATGTGCATTGTTAAGCCATTTTGTTTAAATGGTTGATGCTTAAAGTTATCCTTTTTATTCTTATCTTTATAGAAAATGAAGATTTTATGTTCATATATAACATTTGATGTGCAGTTATGAAAAATAAAAAGAAAACAGGTCGGTATTTTATTTTTTTATAGTTTATTTTGAAAATTATTAAAAAAATCTACTTTGTAAAAATTCATCCTAAATAAAATCAAATACTTTGTTCTTAGATAAGATTAAACCAGTTTCTAACAAAATAAAATGATGAAACGATAATTATATATAAAGAAAAAGAAAATTTACCTAATGCTATGAGATTTATATTTATCCTTGTTGTTGCACTTTGAAGCAGTATTTTTGGATTATCTGCAATTCCATTTTCAACTTTTTGTAGAATTCTCCATTAATGGCATATATTTTAGTATACATGGGATAATAAAAAACCCATGCATACCATATTGATGTTTGAGTACTCATGAATTTACGTACTTTATATTCATTTAACAGTCAATTCCTAAACTTCGGCTGTCAAATTGTAAATACTTTGACTATATTGAGTTTTTCCCTCATAAAATCATTTTTTGTTTTTATGAGGAAAAAAATTATGTTAGTGATTCTATTATTTGTTTAATTATATATAAACAGAAGCTGTGTAACATAATAGTCAAACAATATTTTTTGCCAATTCACAAAGTCATGAATAAGTTGATGACTTTTCATGGAGTTATGAATCAGAAAGTACCATAATTTTTGCACTTAAATCTGGATTTCTTTGGGGATTTTTAGCTCATAGGGATGGTAGCCAAGAAGGGCTATCAGTCTTAAAATATCATTTTGTAACATTTCACTATAAACGGCAAATCGCTTTTTAAATTGTTGCCACCAAATATTATTGTATTTAAACAAATTAAATAATGAAGAATCTGTAGTGAAACATAATTTAATGTTTCTATATAATTATTAAGATTTCCTAAGTGGCCTCAAGCCAAAAACGTTGTTACTTGGAGTATAAGCATTGTGTAAGCTTTATTTCTTAAAAGTTTGTTATATTTTTATGTTAAAAATAAGTAACATGTTGCAAACAAGAATGGAAATTGTAAAAATAAATATTATACTAATTCTTCAAAATAAGCATTTATTTCACTTATGAAATACTCTGGCTGATCAGTTTCGATTTTACTTATTCATCAAATCCACATTAAAAGATTGGTGACCGTAACATTGGATTATGGAAGGACATCAACGCTGGAAACTTGCAAGGTGAGTGTTAAAATTACTCCTTTTTGAACAGAAGAGCCTGGAATTTGGTTTTTTTTCAAATAGAAGCTCAATTCGAAATTAATGCAATAACTGTTGATAGTACCAAATTTAATTATGTAGTATCTCAACTAGAGCCAAAATATGTTGAAATTATGGGGATATCATACGGATAAAACATTGATAATATAAATGCTTAGTTAACGAAAGACTTAAAACCATTCAAAGAAATAAGGGCTTAGTCATGGCCTGACTTTGGGGATATGAAATCCAGTCAGTTACAAAAATGAGATCCCTCGCTACTGATGTTTCAGATAAAGTACTCAAAACATTGTGGTTAGAAAAAATGCCTGACTTGATAAAAAATATTTTACTGATTTCCGATGAATAGCTTTAATGGCCGACAAAATAATGGAAATGAATTCAAAACCTGAAATTTATTCCACAGGCAAAAATTTAAATTCGATTGATGAGTGACTGATAAAAATTTCTTCTCTGGAAAAACAAATAGAAACTTTAAGTGTTTTTCGCCAATCTCGGTCTCAGAATCGTAGTAGCGATAGATACAGAGAGTAAAGTAAAAGTAATAAATGTAAAAGATTTAATCCAAATGATTACTGGTATTACCATTACATGTTTGGCTCAAAATGCATCCCTGAAAAGTGTCAACCTAACTGCTCTTGTGGTCAAAAGAAGTCGGAAGACTTAAACCAGCAGCGGAATTAGCGGCTAATTTTGCTGCAGGTTATGTTGAGGATGGCCACAAACACTGAATATTTGTGACTGACAAACACACAGGTTTGCATTTTCTAATTGGCTCCAGCGCAGATGCTTGCTTATTACCTGCTACTAAAGAAGATAACATAACAATAGGGGTGCTTCCTTCTTATGAAAAGAAGGAAAAGAGTTTAGGCAAAATTGCCCATTACTCTTCCGCCATTTGATCATTTAAATCAAGGGATTTAAATGGTAACTCCCATAAAAGGTAAGTAATAAATAGATAAGATCTCAACTGACACCCAATCTATAGTATCAGCAAAAGATCCCATCTCTAAGTTCAAGGTGTCGGCTGGATCGTAAAACTTCCCTATGGATGGAAAACCGATTCATCCCTCCCAAACCACCAACGCAAATTCTTGACCAAACAAGAGTGCGATGGAGAGTCAAATAAATAAAAATAAATAATAAGGAGGGCAGAGGTGCATTCTCAGCCAAATGGCAGGGAGTGATAAAGATTTGATATCTGTTTCCAAATTATATTCCCAAAACACAGCTATAGAGGGAAATCCCTGCATAGTTTCTTTTCAAAAAAAAAAAAAAAAAAAAAAGAACTCTAGGGCGTCTCAATGCTTGTTTCTTGTGGTTTCATATTCACCTTCCTGTAGGTGTTTAGTATACATCAGAAACCCTAGTATGCCAGAGAGCCCTTTGTATAAAAGGGCTTGATCCAAGTAATATAGGGAAACCCAAGGAATTTGTTTCTAGGGACAGAGAACACCGGACATCGTCCCAGAAAAGGAAAAGGTGTTTCCTCTTTTCTCCACAAGCTGGCAGAGAGGAGATTCGACAAGACCACATTTGTGGAGATGCTTAGCTAGATAAGCATGTCCAGTAACAATTTGAATTACCTGGCGTAAGTTAGTTCTACTGAGGGTGTATGAGTTTACCTGAAAAGTTAAGTGTATTGAGCACCAATTTAGAATGAGCACAGTCTGGTAGTTAGACCATATATCATCATGTTTGTTCTTTATCCGGCTTCTTATTCTTTTTTAACCGTTTGATATTGAAACTGGGTAAAATGGTTCTGGGCCAGACATGGGTAGTTGCGAAGCATCTTTAGCTACTTTATCAGCTAGTTCATTTCCAGCAAAATCACAATGACCTGGGACCCAGACTAAACTAATGGTATTATGGGCCTGAGTCAGAGAATTGGATCTTGAGTACAGTTCAAAACACAGTTTTGTAACTTGACACGATTAGCCAAGGTAAGGATGGCTGAGTGGCTGTCAGAGAGAATACATATATCCTTATCAACTGTATTTTTAGCTAAGAGCTCCCTCGCGACCATATTGATCGCCAGAACTTCGGCTTGGAAAACAGTTGTTAGTTTACCAAGGTATAGATGAAATCTAATGAAAATCTTCAGATCCCTTGGTTCTTATAATAGCTCCAGCTCCGATGAAGTTGGATTTTGATCCGTCTGTGTAACATTCAATTGATCCTGTTGGAATTAGGTCAATTAGAGATTCTATCTCATTCCTTTTTGGTATATGAGTTGAGAATAGTTTATCTGGAACTATTGTTTTAGTAATTGCATCTTTGGGCATATAGATTATAGCGATCTCATTGCCCAAGTCCAGACATATGTCAATGTGGCTTTTCAGGTGGCTTTTTTTATTCAATTTTTATTCAATCTATACATGGCTTTAATTGCTTCTCCGCTCAAGAATAATTTCAAGGGTGGAATTTGCAGTAAAAATTCTAATGCAGCAGTAGGGGTACTATTTAAAGCCCCACTAATGCTTAGGCAAGCAAGTCTTTGCACCTTTTGTAAAATGTTTAAATACGTGCTTTTGTTAATAACATTAATCCAGACCACGCATCCGTAAGAAGCATTGGCCGGACTATGGCAGTAAAATCTATAGAGTAGATTTTGGGTTAAGGCCCCATTGTTTACCAACGATTTGCCTACAAAGTACTAGAACATTTGTGGCCTGTTTGTACCTTTTCTTTTATATGGATGATCCATGTGAGTTTACTATTCCAGGTAACATCCTAGGTATTTAACGCATTCCTTACGTCTGATAATCTGGTTAACCCAGATATAAATCTGCCAGTTTCCATTTCCTTTCTCCATGTGAAAACTATGACCTCAGATTTTTCAGCAGAGAAAGATAGGCCTATTTGTTATCACCCCAGTGTGAAACTTTATTTCAAGATTTGCTGAGCTTGATTGTGTAAGGGTTCCGATATCGAAACCCTGTAGTAACACAATAAGGTCATCTGCATAAGCCTGTGACATGCCAGGTTCCTCCCGTAGAAGTACTAAGAGTGAGTCGAATACCAGGTTCCACAGGAACGGAGAAAGAATACCACCCTGCGGAACTAAAGAAGATAAACTTCAAAGTAACTTCAAATTATATGCTGCAAATGGCACAGAAATTCCCACTTATGGGATAAAAATTTTAACGCTTGATCTTGGCCTTCGTCGAGCATTTTATTGGCCATTCATTATTGCCAAAATTAATAAAGGCATAATCGGAGCAGACTTTTTGGACCATTTCAAATTATTAATTCATTTAAACAACGAAAGATTAATCGATGGTGTAACTAAATCGTACTACTCAATGTCACATTACATCCATCTCCAAAATCAATGATATAAGTTTACATGATAAGTTAAAATATCATGATCTGTTATCCAAGTATCCGAATATTAAAAAACCTAATCTTTTGATTACAAATGTCATCACATTTTAACGAAGGTCAACCAGTGTATTCCAAGCCAGACAGCTAGACAGTAAAAATTACAGATTGCCAAACATGAATTTCAGTATATGTTAGAAAATAATATAATACAGTCTACATCTCCATGGGCTAGTCCTCTTTACTTAATCTCTAAAAGAGATGGAAATTTTCATCCCTGTGGAAATTATCGAAGACTTAATGCTATAATTGTTCCTGACAGATACCCTATCTCTAGGATTAATGATTTTAACCACATTTTAAAGGGCAAAAACATATTTTTCAAAATTGATCTTTTCAAAGCCTAATTTCCAAATTCCTATAGCCGAAGAGGATAAACAGAAAACTGCCATAATTATGCCATTTGGCCTCTATGAATTTAATGTAATGAGCTTTGGTTTGCGAAATGC